TAAGGCTTTTGGGATGATGTGATGGGGTGAATGTGTTTTGTATGTGGGAAGGACATGAATTTTGGGGGGGCCAAAGGGTGGAATGTTATGGATTGAATTATGTCCCCCCAAAATATGTGTTATAAATCCTAACCTCTATGTCTATGGTTATGTTCCCATTTGGGGATTAGCTAAAGTGAAAGGAATAAATGATACCGAGTAAAAGAGCTGAACAGAAAATTTCAAAGGGCAGCTCGAGAAGACAAAGTAAAGTATTGTAATGAAATGTGCAAAGACCTGGACTTTGAAAACCAAAAGGGAAGAACACACTCAGCATTACTCAAGCTGAAAGAACTGAAGAAAAAATTCAAGCCTCGAGTTGCAATACTGAAAGATTCTATGGGCAAAAAATTGAATGACACAGGAAGCATCGAAAGAAGATGGAAGGAATATACAGAGGCACTGTACCAAAGATAATTGGTTGACTTTCAGCCATTTCAGGAGGTAGCATATGATCAGGAACTGATGGTACTGAAGGAAGAAGTCCAAGCTGCACTGAAGGCATTGGTGAAAAACAAGGCTTCAGGAGTTGACAGAATACCAATTGAAATGTTCCAACAAATGGATGCAACGCTGGAAGCGCTCACTCATCTATGCCAAGAAATTTGGAAGACAGCTACCTGGCCAACGACTGGAAGAGATCCATGTTTGTACCCATTCCAAACGAAGGTGATCCAACAGAATGCAGACATTATCTAACAATATCGTTAATATCACGTGCAAGTAAAATTTTGCTGAAGATAATTCAAAAACAGTTGCAGCGGTACATCGACAGGGAACTGCCGGAAATTCAAGCTGGATTCAGAAGAGGATGTGGAATGAGGGATATCATTGCTGATGTCAGATGGATCTTGACTGAAAGCAGAGAATACCAGAAAGATGTTTACCTGTGTTTTACTGACTGTGCAAAGGCATTCACCTGTGTGAATCTTAACAAATTATGGATAACATTGCAAAGAGTGGGAATTCCAGAATACTTAATTGTGCTCATGTGGAACCTGTACATAGCGTTCAAACAGAACAAGGGGATACTGCGTGATTTAAAATTAGGAAAGGTGTGTGTCAGGGTTGTATCCTTTCGTCATACTGATTCAATCTGTATGCTGAGCAAATAATCCGAGAAGCTGGACTATATGAAGAAGAACGTGGCATCAGGATTGGAGGAAGATTCATTAACTACCTGCGTTATGCAGATGATACAACCTTGCTGGCTGAAAGCAAAGAGGACTTGAAGTACTTACTGATGAAGATCAAAGATTGTAGCCTTCAGTATGGATTACACCTTAACATAAAGAAAATAAAAATTCTCACAATTGTACCAATAAGCCGCATCGTGATAAATGGAGAAAATATTGAAGTTGTCAAAGATTTCATTTTACTTGGATCCACAATTAACGCCTGTGGATGCAACATGGATTGTCTGTGTTATGTTAATGAGGCAGGATTAGTGTAGGGTGTGTCTTGAGTCAATCTCTTGAGATATAAAAGAGATTAAAGAAGGAAGTGAGCAGAGGAGAGATGGGGTACGACAGATGCCAAGACACATGGAGATCTCCAAGGAACCAAGAAGCAGAAGCTGAAGAGACAAGGACCTTCCTCCAGAGCTGACAGAGACAGAAAGCCTTCCCCTAGAGCCAGCGCTCTGAATTCGGACTTCTAGCCTCCTAACTATGAGAAAATAAATTTCTGTTTGTTAAAGCCCTCCACTTGTATTTCTGTTATAGCAGCGCTAGATAAAAATACAGTCACTAAATAACTGCTCTACAGGGCGGTTCCTTCACATCACCATGGAATCATTTCCCTTGTCTTGCCTACTTTTGAAGTGGACTTTTGTGAGACTCAAAGCACTCTGTATTGTGAAAAGGGCTGTTAGGATGGTATGTGAGGTACTGTTATTCTCCCCGTCCCTCTCCTGGATCTTTCCACTTTCAAGCCTTTCTTTCCAGTTCTGACACTCTTTGGGGGCCACTGCAGTGTCTACTCCTTTCTCCTCCCTGCAGTTCCCCACCACCAGTCCCACCACAGGCCACAATCCTGGGCTCTGCCTTCCTCCACCCACCACTTTCCCAGTGGTCTTTGCCAGATATTCCCTCCCCATGCCCTTCCTTGGCGAAGGCCCCTCTGCCAAGACCTCAGACTACAGGATCTATCTCCAGGCAGTGCCCCAGTTTGGTAGGACTGGACCCTAAGAAAGGAAAGGGAGGCAGAAGGCCAGAGATTGAGTCAGGGAAAGGCTGGAGCTGGCCAACCACATGCAGGTTCTGAGGCAAGGAACCCTAGATTCAGACGGGTCTACTCCCATCACTAACCTCCTCTCTTTGGTTGGCTTCAAGACCTTACCCGTCTTACTGCTGTGCCCTGGGTAGGGTTGGGGGCTCTGAAGGGACCAGGTAAGGGCACTGACCTAGATTTTGTGGATGCTTAAAGAGGGGCACTGAGCTGCCTGGGATAAGAAGTAATCTCGATTTGGAGTAATATGCTGCCATAAAAAGAACGTTGTTAGGTGCCATCGAGTTGGTTCCAACTCACAGCGACCCCATGTACAATAGAACAAAACACTGCCCAGTCCTGTGTCATCCTCATGACTGTTGTTATGCTTGAGCCCATTGTTGCAGCCGCTGTGTCAGTCCATCTCGTTGAGGGTCTTTCTCTTTTTTGCTGACCCTCTGCTTTACCAAGCATGATGTCCTTCTCCAGGGACTGATCCCTCCTGATAACATGTCCAAAGTATGTGAGATGAAGTCTCACCATCCTTGCTTCTAAGGAGCATTCTGGCTGTACTTCTTCCAAGACAGATTTATTTGCTCTTTTGACAGTCCATGGTGCATTCAATTTTATTCGCCAACACCGTAATTCAAAGGCATCAATTCTTCTCCGGTCTTCCTTATCCATTGTCCAGCTTTTGCGTGCATATGAGGTGCTTGAAAACACCATGGCTTGGGTCAGGCGCTTGGGTCAGACCCCCACGCATGTGTCAGTTTGTCATACTGTTGGAGCTTGTGTGTTGTTGTGATGCTGGAAGCTATGCCACCAGTATTCAAATACCAACAGGGTCACCCAAGGTGGAGAGGTTTCAGCTGAGCTTCTAGACTAAGACAGACTAGGAAGAAGGACCTGGCAGTCTACTTCCGAAAAAATTAGCCAGTGAAAACCTTATGATTCGCAGCAGAACATTGGCTGATATAGTGCCAGAAGATGAGCTCCTCAGGTTGAAAGGCACTCAAAACATGACTGGGGAAGAGCTGCCTCCTCAAAGTAGAGTCAATCTTAATGACATGGATGGAGTCAAGCTTTTGGGATCTTCATTTGCTGATGTGGCACAACTCAAGAAGAAACAGCTGCAAGCATCCATTAATAATCGGAATGTGGAACGTGTGAAGTATGAATCTAGGAAAATTGGAAGTCAACAAAAATGAAATGGAACACATAAACATCGATATCCTAGGCATTAGTGAGCTGAAATGGGCTGGTCTTGGCCATTTTGAATCAGACAATCATATGGTCTTATGCTGGGAATGACACATTGAAGAGGAATGGCTTTGCGCTCATCGTCAAAAAAGAATGGGGAGACTCTGATGTAGACCCCAGCACAAGGTATATTAGGGGCAAAAAAAGCAAGGTGTGGAACAGCACGTGGAGAATGCTCCCAGCTATGAAGAATGAGTGTATCCAGAGCCACTTCTCAACACTGCTTCTGCTGTACCCTGGTCTGAGCCACTAACATCTCTGGCCTGGATTGTGCCCGTTGCCTCCTGGTAGGTCTCGTACAGTCTATCTTTGCTTCCCTACAGTCTGTTCTCAACACAGCAGCCAGTGTGAGTCTTTTAAATCACAAATCAGGCTCAAAACGCTGTAGTGGTTCCTCATTTCCCTGAGGCAAGAGCCCAAGTCCTCCATGACCTGCCTCCACCCCACCCAGCTTTCTTTTCTCCATAGCACCTATGAGCTTCTAACATCTATATACTTCTTTTTTGTGCTTATAGTGTATATCTTCTGTCTCCAGATCTGTAAGCTCCAGGAGTGCAAGGATCTTTTTTGTTCACTGTTGTTTCCAAAGCACCCAGCCTAGCATACAGTAGATGCTGAATAGTATTTGTTGAGTGACTGAATGAAGATGCCATATATGTGCGAGCTCTACAAAATTGGTAACCATGGTTACCTCCAGGGAGAGCTGGGGAGTTGGGGGTGGGGTGGGTGCGAGAGAGAGACTTACTTCTTACTATCAGAATTCTTTAGGTATATATTACTTTTACAAAAACAGTCCAGAGAAGAAGGAGTTAACTAAGAAGGCTGAGGAAGAGCTGGTCCCAGGGAGGGAGACTGAGGGCCCCATGCACCCTCTCCAGGGCAGTGCCCCAGGTGAGGGAGGGGGCCAGGGATGCTGGATGGGGATCCCAGGGAGACTGTGAATGAGCCCTGTGACTGGCCCTGAGGTTGTGGGGGGCTGTGGGCAGGCACATCCATGAACACCAGCCAGGCGATGTGGAAGGAAGGCTGATGTCCACCACCCCTGGGAACAATTCAGGGAAAGCAGGTGTCAGTGTCCACCAAGAGGCTGTGAGGAGTCAACTCTGCTCGCTGAGGCTGTTTGTGTTCTGATGGAGCCACGCTGAAGCCTGAGGGTCCAGTGTGGCCACACAGGTGCCCTTCTCTGCAGCTTTGTGTGACCTGGAGGAGCAGGGCCTTACTTCTTCCCTGAGCTGGGACTCGCAGCAGTTTAGTGCTTTCCCGAAAGGCAGGGAGCTGCCCAAACCAGGGCAAGGGTCCTTTTCTGGGAAGGGGCTGGGTCCTGCAGGTTCCTATGCTAAGACCCAGGGCCTCAGAGAAGACCCCACCCCAGCTGGACCCTCCCTACCCAGAGTCTGGGAGGAACCTGGCCTTTCTGCCCTCCCTCCCCACCCGGGCATCAGTGAGACGTGGCTGTCACTCTTTTTTATCCAGGACAAGCTCCTTCTCCCTGGTCTGCACCCTGGCTGCAAGACCCTTCTAGTGCTGATTTTTTCTGATCGCCTTTCAGACATTTGAAACTTTTGACCTCAAAGCCTATTTATTATATCTACAGATGAGTGATTCTCAAACAGAGACCTGGAGCTTAGGGAGCAGCCCATTCCTGGTCCTAAGCGGGTGCGCTAAGATGAAGCATCTGGGCTGGCGGGCTCGCTGTGCCAGGCTGGGAGGAGCTCTTACTGGGGGCCTTGTCAGCAGGCCAAGCTCCTGCCCACGGGAACGGAGGAGGCCCAGAGATGAGGCAGGTCTGACAGATGGATCCACACTTCACTCGTGGTTTGTGGCCCATCCTTGGTTCAAGCACGGCTGGCCCCAGGAGTCTTGACGGGAGTTGGGCTGGGGGCTAAAGAAAAGAATGGGAAGCTGGGAGGCAGGCTCTGCCACAGAAGCTGTAGCCATACCTCCTGTGTTTGCCCAGCTCTGCCCACCTTGAGTGATGCCAGCTGGGGAGAGGAGGCAGCTCTCTCATGCCTTAATCCAGCAGCTCCTTGATACACCAGCAGCAGAGGAGGATGTAGGCGACCTCCTTCAGGGTCCGCTGCAGGCCCTCCCACCCTGTGCCTGTCTTCATGACAGGCACTCGGAGCCCAGCATCTCGCAGGACCCCTCCAAGGGAGAAGGGCAGGGCCTGGGCTACGGGCTGTGTCCGGGGCTGCATGTGGGCAGCAGTGCTGAGGAAGGGTGGGAGCTGCCTCCAGGCCTTTTATCAGCATCGTCCCACCCCCCTCAGGCCTCATGACTACACAAACAAAGGGCCCAGGGGCTAGCAAAGGAAGATTCTGGGTCTGGGAATAGGCTGAGTCAGCCCCTATCAGGGACCGGGTGGGGTTAGCAGTAGGGAGGGCCTGCCCACTCAGTCTTTTATCCCCCACAACCAGGCCAGCTCAGCTTCCTTTTTTCCAGTCCAGGCCTCGATAACTCGGGGGCCCCGCCTGTTGGCCCCTTCTCCCAGTAGTTGGCATTACTCTCTGCTCTTGCCCCCTGGCGGGCTGCTACTGAGGCTGGCATCAAGATCCATCCGTGAGAGCTCGTTTCCAGCCTAGTCGGCCTCACCCTGGGCCCCGCAGAGTGAGTAGGGTCTGGCCCACTCCTGCTCTGCCCAGCCCCCACAGCAGGAAGACACAGCTGGAGTAACGGGCACAGTGAGAGGCACAGTTTATTGGCAGGTTTCGCCCCAGACCAGCCACCCTCCCTCCCTCCTGAAGTGGGCAGGGTTGGGAAGTCACGTTCGGGAGTTGCGCTCCTCATCCTCATTTTCCAGCTGGTAGGCTGGGCGGTAGGCGGGGTGGCCTCCTGGGCTCAGGTACTTCAGGGCTGGGTTCCGCACCGTGTTCTCCCGGCTCCCTAGTGAAGTGTAACTGGAGGGAGGAGAATGGAGGGCAAGTGTGTGGTGGGTTGGCTCTCCCCATCCCAGCACCCTCACGTCCCCCAACACCCCTTCTCTTCCCTTACCCTCGGTCGTACAGGATACAGTATGGGACAAACAGAGAACGCAGAAAGTCCCAGATGTCTCTGTAGGTCCAATCCTGGGAGGTCAGAGGATCACAGAATCGTCACAAATCCCCGATACCCCTCTCCCACCCCTACCCGCTGCTGCCCTGGGAAGGGGCCCACCCAGGTTTCCTCTGCTCTTTGGCCTATGAGGGAGGGTATAACTGCTGTCTGACTCTCTGGTATATCTTGCTCTGTGTAGGCTAGGCAATGAGAGAGAGAAAGCCTTCATTCCCTCCCCTCTCTACTTCCAATCCACCCTCCACACTGGAGAGTAAGCTCCAGGAGGACAGGGAGGGGCTGTGGTCTGTCCGAGCCAGAGCTATCTCATAGAACTTTCTGCAATGCTGGAAATGTTCTGTGTGGTCGCCACGAGTCACCTGTGACCACTGAGCCCTTGAAATGTGGCTAGTGCAACCGAAGTACTGAATTTTTCATTCTATTTAATTTTTAAAATTGAGATAATTCACACACCGTAAGACTCACCCCTTTTAAAGTGTACAGTTCAGCGGGTTTTAGTCGTTTGTATTGTTTTATTAAGGAAATTTTAAGTATTCACAGCTATTTAAGTGTAAAAAACATAGCTAGCGGCTACCATCGTATGGGACAACACAGGTCTAGGTCACTGTTTCGTCCACAGTAGAGTGCACAATGCCTGCCATTCAGTTGTTGTTGGCAGGTACCATCGAGCTGACTGTGACTCAGAGTGACCCCATGTGACAGAGCAGAACTGCCCCATAGGGTTTCCTAGGCTGTAATTTTACAGAAGCAGACGGCCAGGTCTTTCTCCTGTGGAGCAGTTGGATGGATTTGAACCAACAACCTTTCAGTTAGCAGCCGAGTGCTTAACCGTTATGTCACCAGGGATCAATAAATATTGATTGAAAGACTGAATGAACAAATAGCACTGCCTCCCTTGGACAACGGAACCCCGTCCTTTGTCCCCGGAGCCCCAGGCTCCAGACCGTCCCCCCTTCACGGAGGCAGAGTGCAGTGGTGGCAGTGACGATGGGGAACCCGAGGCTGAAGGCAGCGCATCTGCTCCCTCGTTACCAGCAGCGGGTTGACGCGCACGAACGAAGGCCAGCCTGGGTCGGTGGGGCTGAAGGGGCGGAGGCTGCAGGAGTAGGGGTCAGTGCGGCGGGTGCCCATCAGGACGGCCTCCAGCTGGGGGTGCCGGGCATGCAGCTCACCCAGGGCCTGCTTCATGTCACCCTGTGCCTCCAGCACCTGCAGGTTATACCTGAGGAAGGAGAGGTGGGCGTCTGGAGGGGGCCCTGCCAAACCCCTCTTGGAGCCCAAACCCCCAGGCCTCCAATACCTCTTGATGGTGTCCTGCAGAAACTGCTCCAGCTCAGGGAAAGGGGAGATGCTGCGGACATACAGGATCTGGAGGGGCTCCTGGGCGGCAGGGCATTTCCTGGGGAGGGGAAGGATCCACAGGCTTGCCTGCATGGGCAGGAAGCAGGCTCTCAAAGCTCACACTGTTCTCTTGGAGCCCTGGGATGGACACCCTCCCCTTCTCCCCCGTCCTCGTCCTTCTCATCCATCCGAATCCACTTCCCTGGGGAGCCCGCTCTGACCTCTCCTCTCTCCAATAGGGAGCACACCTCCCCAACGGGACTGTGATCTCCCAGTGGGCAGGGATGGGGGCCTCCACACCCACACCCGGGCCAGACAAGTGTCAGAAGCTCCATAAATATCGTGGAGGAATGGAACTAAGAGGTCACCATGGCTCCCCCCCCCCCGCCACTCTCTGCTTCCATGGATGGGAAACAGGGGAAGGGGCCTTGGGTCCCGGGTGCAGGCTCACCTCTGCACGGCTGCGTGGAAGAGGTGCAGGAGGGCGGTGCAGTCCTTGCCCCCGTTGAAGCCCACACAGAGTTGGGTGAGGCTGTACCGAGCCAGGGCCGTCTCAATGATCTGCAGGGCGCCTGCCACCTTTTGCCCCAGAGGAGACCCTGCCAGGCAGGCAGAGAAGAGGGCGTCAGAAAGACATACATGGCCGTCAAAGGGGAGCAGGGGCTATGCTGCCCTTGCTTAAAACCCTCCAATACCTTCCCAGGTTCCTAGCATAAAGTCTGAAGTCCTTCATGTCACCCACGAGGCCCCGCAGAGTCCACCTGTCTGCCTTCAGCCACACCGCACCCCCACTCTTGCCCTCGATGCCTTCTCTCTGAGAGTCCTGGTTCCCTTCCATTCCCCTAAGCCCTGTGCTGCTTCCTTTCAGGCCCCCTCTCACACTGCTGCTCTTGCTCACCTCCTGGTTAGGCCAAACCCTCCTCATCCCTCAGCTGAAATGTCACTTGCCCAGAGGAGCCTTCTCCGACACCAGATCAAGGCTGAACTCCCTACCGTGGAGGGCCCTTGATCACTCGCATGAGGATCTGTTTAGTGTCTACCTTTTTTATTAAACTACAGGCCCTTAGGAAACCCTGGTGGTGTAGTGGTTAAGTGACACAGCTGCTGACCAAAAGGTCAGCAGTTCAAATCCACCAGGCGCTCCTTGGAAACTCTACGGGGCAGTTCTACTCTGCTTTATAGGGTCACTATGAGTCAGAATCGACTCGATGGCAACAGGTTTGGTTGGTTTTTTTTTTTTTTTTGGTAATGGCCCTTAAGGGCAGGGCAGACACCTGTCCTGTCAAGCTATATCCCAACCCCCAGCACAGTGCTGGCAAAAGTAGGTACTCAGTATTTCTTGGAAGAATGAATGAATCCACAGTGGTTCTCTTTCACCCTCCCCAGATTTATGGGAAGCCCCCAACAGCCCTTGCATTCCTGAGACCGAGGGTGCCACCCATGGCTGGTTCCTGCTGCCACTGCACGAGACCACTACCTGATTCAGTGAGTCTGTACACGGCCTCGCTGGCCTGCTCCACGGCGTTGGGCACATAGGGGACCAGTGAGCCCTGGGGCAGACGGGCAGTCAGGTAGGCCAGACCTTCCTCCAGGGACTCTTCTTCCTCCGAGTCCAGGGTCACTTTCACCTGGTAATAGTTGCTGCTCCAGTCAGGGTAGGAGCCGAGGCCAAGCCTGCATCCAAAGCGGGCCTGGGCCTCGGCCAGGACGGGGGCGATGGAGGCCTCATCGGCAGCCACGTATAGTTCCCGCAAGTGGAACTGAACAGCGGTGTTTTGGAAGAGCCCCTTCAGCCCCTCCAGCGCTCGGCGCAGCAGCTCTGGAATGCCTGGGAAGAGGTAGACGTTTTGGACGGAGACCAGCGGGAACTTGAAGGGACGGCCAGTGTGAGGATCTGTGCCGTAGTGCAGGCGGGCAGATGTGGGCACCAGAGACATCTTCTCCCGGCCCTCCCCTCCCAGGGCTTTGATGGTAGCTTCCAGTTCAGGGTGTGGCTTGAGTTCATCCCCAAAGGCCTGTGCCACTGCCTCAAAGGTCACGTCATCATGAGTGGGGCCGATACCCCCTGCCGTGAGGACGTGGGTGAACTGGCTGGAGAAAGAGGTGACCTCGGCCGCGATGGTGGCTACCTCATCAGGTACAACAGAGACTCGGCACACCTGGACCCCCAGGGAGCGCAGTGTCCGGCACAGAAAGTAGGTGTTGGTGTCCTGAGTGTGTCCCTGGAGCGAAGGGAGGCAGGCAGAGGAGGAGAATGTCAGTGCTGTGGGGATGAGGGCAGAGGGGGAGGGCATGACAGCTGCCTGATGATGGGGTGCCCCGCTCTTTGGGGGACAACACCTCAAGCTGCCAAGAAGCCTGGGCTGGATACAAAAGTAGACAAATCCATTTGGAATGGATTTAGTGAGCCACCTTGGGTCTCTCTCTCTGCACTTTTGTCTCTGAGCTCATGTATAAACCAAACCCATTACCATCAGTCCATTCTGACTCATAGTGACCCTATAGCACAGAGTAGAACTGCTCCATTGGGTTTCCAAGGAGCGGCTGGTGGATTTGAACTGCTGACCTTTTGGTTAGCAGCCGAGTTCTTAACCACTGTGCCACCAGGGCTCCGACCTCATCTATGCTTATGGGTTAAACGTTCAATTCTATAGTCCCTGGGTGGTGTAAATGGTTAAGCGCAGGACTACTAGCTGAAGGGTTGGTGCTTTGAACCCATCTAGAGGTGTCTTGGAAGACAGGCCTGGTGATCTGCTTCCAAAAGGTCACAGCCTTGGAAACACTGTGGAGCAGTTCTACTCTTCACACAAGCGCGCTGCCATGAGTCGACATTGACTTGACGAACAATGTGGACAGCTAGTCTCCGCTTCCTCACCAAGCTGGATCTTCCTCCCCAGGTTCAGCCCCTTGGCTCCCAGCCTCACCATACCCCTGGCTGTGTCATATCAGTTAATGGCATCCCTAGGTACTGTCCACAGCACCCCCAGGTACTGCTCACTGCCCTTGCAGGATGAGGCATGGTGCTCATCCTGCTAATTCTACTTCGGAAATTCTCCCTGTCTGCTCTCTTCTCTCTGTCCCCACTGCCACCGAGTAGGTCCCTGGCACCTTTCACCTGGAAAATGGCGAGAGCCTCTTGGTTAGGTTCCCGGCCTCCAGCCACAATGCTCTGCCCACTGCCTCCTGGGTAACCTTCCTAATGCATGACTGGGATTGCATCACTCTTGGGCTCAAAAGCTGTCTGTTGTTTCCAACTGTATACAGAATAAAGTTCAAATTCCTTTGCCGAGTATTTGAGGCTGCCTCTATGGTGTGTACCCAATCTTCTTTTCCAGTCCCATCTCCTTCTGCTTTTCTACAGAGGGTTTAGTAGTTATGGTTTGGTGTTCTGGAGTAAGAGAGAATCAAGCTGGAATCCCATCTCCACCACTTCCTAGCTGTGTGACCATGGGCAAGGTTCTCAACCTCTCTGGGCCTCAATTTTACAATTAAGATTTATAATAAAACTGTAATCTCATAGCTTGGTTGTGAGGATTAGTAAAATTATACATGTGATGTAATAAGCACATTGCCAGGCCCTATTAAGCACTCAATAAATGGGGGTCAATATTAGTATTACGAATCTGTTACCTAGTAAAATTGGACTACGTGACTTTTGTTCACTAAAGACTCTTGCTTTCACACCTCTATGCCTTTGCTCCCTGGAAGTCCTAAATCTTTAATTTTGATTTTTCCTTGTCAAGAACCTACCATCCTTCAAAGCCTAACTCTAATGCTATGTACTCTAGGAAGACTCCCCTGATCGTTCACAAGGGATTCCTCCCTTCTAGTACTTGCCTTCTATCTCACTTATCCACACTGCTGGTGCCTTAAATCATTTCCCAAATGGGCTGGATATCAGTCTTAAATAAATAATGCATGCACCTGTATCTTTCTAGACTCTGGACTCCCTGTCATTTATGGAGTTAGGGGTAACTCCCTAACGACACAGCTTGGCAAATTGTAGGGACTTGCTACAAGTGTTTCACAAAGTAACTGAGAGAATAAAGGTCACATTTCCTCCAATATGTGGGACTCATCCCAGAACCCGACTGCACCCGGGGGGCTCCCACCCTGGTTCACCCTCCCTCCGCAGCTGTCGGGCAGGCTCCTAATGACGTGAGAACGCCAGCCCTCCCCCCTCCTCCAGCCCAGACACACCTTGAGGATTTCATCTCCAACAATGATGATGCCTGCCGTCACGCTGCGCCCGGGGGGAGATTCAGAGGCCCTAGATGCCATGGTCCTACCTTCTCCGCCCCTCTGCAAGGCCCTCCAGTAGCCACCCAGACCCCGAAATAGGGGTCGTAAGCACGGGGGTCCCGCCAGGTCTACAGGGCACTAGGGGCCATTGCCTGGGAACAGGGTGTCCTGGTCCGAGGGAACCTGGAGGAGCCAGAAAGGACAATGGGGGAGAGCCGCAATGCACCTTCCTTTGAGTTTTCTCTAACCAGGCCCTCGACAAAACCCAAAAAAACCAAACCCTTTGCCCGCGAGTCCACCCCGACTCATAGCGACCCTAGACGGCAGACTAGAACTGCCCCATTGGGTTTCCAAGGCTGTAATCTTTACGAAAGCAGACTGCCACATCTTTCTCCCTGCGGAGTGGCTGGTGGGTTCGAACCGCCAACCTTTTGGTTAGCAGCCGAGCGCTTAACCACTGCACCACCAGGTCCCTTGACAAGCGACTCCTTTATCCCTGCCAGTTTAATAAACGAGTTCTCAAACCCTAGCCCATGCTCCTTTAAATATGTCCGAGAAGTCTGGATCTAGTCTCCTTAAAACGTCCTGTTTTCCCGAGCACCTACTCCTTTAAATGTCTTCTGTATTGTAAGCCGGTCTCTTCAAGTGTCTCCCCTATCTTAGGTATCTGCTCCTTTAAATGTCTCGTCTCTTTGGGGCACCTGCCCCTTTAAGTGTCTACCCAATCCAGGAGAGACATTTAAATGTGTTCCCTCCCTCCAAGCCCAACCAGACCCCGTCGCCTTCTCCTCCAGCCTTCCGCACCCCTTCTAGCCCGGAATCCCCTCTCGTCCCACCATGCTCCCGCCTGTAGGCTCTTCCAAGCTCTCACCTGCCTCTTCAGCCTTTTCACCGGGTTTTTCCCTTTCCTCTCCTCATGTCCCGGGGCAGCTTCCGTACTCGGAGTCCCGCCTTAGACTCACATTTGCCTCATATTAATTGGTCATTTTGACTGTCGCTCAGACCGTCTTCAAAGTTCCCATTAGTGAAGTCAATTGTCGCTCGCGGGCTTCAGCCAGTGGGCGGGAACAGTCCTGAGTTGTTATTAGCGACAACCACGTGGTCACCACTCATCCGGAAATGCGGGGGCGGAGCCTCTTCTCTCGGGGCGGGACCTGGGAGGTCTGGGGCGCGAAAGGAACTGTGGTTGGAAGTGCCCTAAGGAGTTTGGGGTGTTTCTATTGCGAGAGGTAAAGGGAGGCTTGTCTCTTAACCTCCGTTCGGTATTCAGATTTCTTGTATGCATATGCTGTTTTCATTAACCATGAGTGATTGTAGACTAAGGGGTCAAGGGCTGGTACTGGTGTTAGAAAGGATCTTATATTGTAGTAGAAGGAAGTTATATGGACACCAGGAATGATTACCAGCATTGCCTGTGGGATAGGAAGATCTGGGCGTAGGTGAGCTTAGTGGAACTTTCATGTGTCGCTAGTATTAATGATAAAACTACTTAAACCTCTTTGACAAGGTCCAAAACCTCGCTCCAGATTTGCTTCGTATAAACGTCACCTCTCCCCGTCATTGGTCTTGTAGGTACACGTGAGGGCAGCGAGTAGGGAGTGCTTTTTATGTCTACTCTGGATTTTTACATCATCCTAGTTTACTCCCATTTCAGTTGCCATAGGTCTAAAAGTGCTTCTTAAACTTTAATGTTCATACTGGGGATCTTTTTACCATGAAGATTCTGATTTCAGTAGGCTTCAGTGGGTCCTGGATATGCATTTAACAAGGTCCGGAGTCATGTGGATGCTCCTGGTCTGTGGACATTTTGAGCAGTTGTTGGTTGCGGTCAGGTTGATTCCAACTCATGGCTACCCCAATGTTTGCAGAGTAGAACTGCTTCATAGGGTTTTCAAGGGTGTGACCTCTCAGACGAAGATAACCAGGCCTGTCTTCCGAGGTGCCTCTGGGTGGGTTCGAACTGTCAATCTTTTGGCTAGTAATGAGCGCTTAACCGTTTGGACCACCCAGGGACTCCTTTTTGAGTAGTGAGGGTGTAAAATTCATTTCGTGTTTGCAGGGTTGCCCACACACACCTGGCCTCATTTTACTCTCCTAAAAAGTCTCTTTAGAATCATACCCATTTTACAGATGGAAAACAGGCTCAGAAAGGTGAAGGTATGTCAGCCAGCAACCACAAAACACTAAAGTGAATGGTAAAGGCAGGTTTCCAGGCTTCTAGACCATCTTTCTCAAGCTGTGTGTTTGTGTTCAATTTAAAGAACATCAGCTCCGGTCCAATCCTCTGCAAGTGGGTTCTCAAGCTTGAGCAGGCATCAGAATCAGCTGAAGGGCTTGTTAAAACATTGTTGGGCCCAACCCTGTTTTTGATTCAGTAGGTCTAGGGTGGAACCCAAGAGCTTGCATTACTAACACGTTTGCAGGTGATGTTGATGGTCCTGGTCCCGGGACCACACTTGGGAGAACTACTACTCTAGGAATAGATGGAAGACAGGGAGAGAGGGGGAGAATCATCTTAGTGCTGTTATTATCTTTAAAGGTAGAGGCCCATTGCTGTGGAGTCGATTCAGACTCACAGCGACCCTACAGGACAGAGTAGAACTGCCCCATAGAGTTACCAAGGAGCTGCTGGTGGATTTGAACGGCCAGCCTTTTGGCTAACAGCCAAGCTGTTAACAACTGCACCACCAGGGCAAGTTAATACTTGAAATGTTTTCCTAAACAGCTACAGTCCATAACTATTTAATCCAAGCTTAGCGCTGTTAACTACCTATATAAAAAAACCAGTCCCAAGACCCCATGTGTGCAGAGTAGAACAGTTTCAAAGCAGATTGCCAGGCAGCTTTGGGTTCTTTTTTACCACCCAGGGACTTCAACTACGTACATAAGAATGCTTGAAATGCCCACATTCAGGCCACACCCCAGACCAATTAAGTGAGAATCTCTAGGTGCTCAGACGCTAGCCAGAGAACCATTGAAGACAGCCACCCAACGAGTGCAGCGTGAGTGCACAGTGAGTATGTAGGTGTGCCTGAGCCCTTAGGCCAAACACGAAGGGGAGTGCACTAGCAGTCTCTGGCTGGCAGCCTCCTCTCTGCCCTCATGCGCCCTTCAAACACTGGGACCAGGTTAAAGGCAGTATCTGTGACTGTAGGACAGTTCATGTATTTTAGTGAGATGAGATTGTTCCTACATCACCTCTACCCCACTTAGAGTGAAATATATTTCAGAAGCTGTTTGACAGCAAGTCTGCTTAAAGTAGATTAAAAACCAGTTAACCTGAATGTTGAAATAAACCTTGTTATCAACAAAGAGCTGAGCTTCGTTATCTAATTGAAGAGCAGATAATTAGAACCATGATATTGAATGTGATGTTCATCCTGAGAGACTGTGTGTGTGTGTGTGTGTGGGTGTGGGTGTGTGTGTGGGTGGGTGTGTGTGTGTGTGTGTGTGTGTGCGGGCGTGCGTGTATGTGTGCGCGCGGGCGTGCGTGTATGTGTGCGCACGCACAGGGAGGGAGCTGTGTGCTGCTTTGGGGACCTGGGGTTGGCTGGGGTAGCTTTTTTGGGAGGTAGATTTTACTGAAGTAAACA